GGAATAGGCTGCCCAGGGAAGTGGTGGAATTACCATCCGTGGAAGTGTTCAGTAACCATATAGATGAGACCCTTAGTTATATGGTTTAGTGGTGGTCTTGGCAGTCCTGGGGTAACGGTTGAACTTGATGATCTTAAAGGTGTTTCCCAACCTAGCTGATTCTATGATTCTATCCTATGATTCCCAATAGGAATGCTGCTTAGGGACAGTGGGTTTCTGGTCAATGCCGTTAGGTGGCATCATACCCCTATGGACGAGCTCCAAAAAGGCGGAAGGGTCCTTGTATGATCACTGTTTGGTTTGTTCTTTTCTACCTGTTGTGCTGCTTGTACCAAGGGCAACAGTCCTTTCTCAAGATCTGAATATGTTGTTTCAGTATAAATAAAAGAATTAGAACAAAACTCTCATGGTCTCTGAGCCATCTGGTTCCTCTGCCAAAAATTACAATGAGAGCCATGCTCACTAAAGCTGTACTCCACATGAACAGGATCATCTGAATGTATGGGTCCCAGCTGTTGGAATAACCTTAAGTCATTTATCAGCAGCTCTAGTGTATTTGCATGTTGTTCAGTCCATTTCGATGCTTTCCCCTTTTTGAGCAAATTATAGAGAGGTCGGGTGATAATAAAACCCCTGGAATTTGGTTTTGCCAATACATCAAAGTTCCCAGAATTTGCTGCACTTCCATGGTACTCAATTGCCTCAGAGTATTAAGGGGAACAAAAGTGGCGCCTCTGACCCCCCATGGTCCTAAGAATCATACTTCTTGTGTCAGTCCTTGACATTTTGATTCAGGAATGTCCAGACTGAAATCTGGCCATTTTTCCTGAAGTCCTTTCATGACATTGTTAACATTCTCTGTATTTTCTCCCCCCCCCCCCCCCCCCCCCCCCCATCAGTATGTCATCAATGTACTGATAGGTTGTAACCCCTGGTGGTACTGGGAATGTCAACAGAATGTCTGGAAATGCATTGTGAGCAATAGTAGGTAACTGTTCATAACCTTGGGGTAATCTATTAAAGTTGTATTGTACTCCTTTCTACATGAAAAAGAATTGATTTTTGTCTTGATCCTGTAAAAATGTATCCTGTACATCTGGTGTCACCATCCAGGTATGGGATGCTCCTTGAATCTGTGTTATTAATTCAATAGCACTTGGTACAGTGGCAGTTAAGGGTGCAGAATTAGCATTTAGGTGCCTGTAGTGCACTGTAAGTTGTCACTGCCCATTTGTTTGGTTTTTTTTCACTGGCCATACAGGGGAATTGTAAAGCTTGTGAGAATGCCTCTATTCTAAATCTGTCACCACTCCATCAGTCCCTGCCTGAGCAGCTGCTGGCAACAGGCATTGTTGGATGTTGGTAACTTTAGAGGAGAGTAAAAAGGAATAGATGCAGCTAGTAAGTACAGTTTAGCTGTGCCACTTTCCTTAGGATCAACGTTTATCCATTCCCCATTACTGCAGCCGAAACTCCACACCACTCCATCCTGGAGTTTCCAGGCTTGCCCATACAGCACATTAAAGCCTAAAATATCATCATATGCTGTGCCAGTCAATGCCTCAATTTTAGTTAGTTTTTGTTTTGTTTTTTTTTTTTTCCCCCTGGCCACCAGAGTATGATTTTTGCAGTGGGGCTTTCTCTTATTTCAGTTCCTTTGAATTTAGTTTTACGTTGGCTAAGCTTTACACCAGGAATTTCTGCCATTTCATTAGTGTTGGCATTTGGGGAATTCTACCAGTATTTTCTGGGCTCCAGCAGGGATTGCAGTAATGGGTTGAGCATGTTGACTGGAGAGACATGGCACTGTTAACACCTACCAGCCAGGGTAGCTCTCTGCCCACCCCGGGGTTTGGGGGGTTTTGTTGAGGGTTCTTCCAGGTCGATGAAACTGTGCTCTGGTGTAGAGGGTGCACTTTCTTTGTGAGGCAGTAGTTTTTTAACTGATTGGCTTTCTCCACCCAAGTTACCTCTTTTATGTAGAGATTGAACTAACATGCGGATGTTGCTGGTGGAGACACCGTGTAACCACTGTCGGGGTACCCCTAATTCTATGGCTTTTCTCCACCAGTGATTCCGTTCCTTCTCAAATTTGGAACTCTCCTGGAATTTTGGTTTTGGAGTACCCATCTGATGGACTCGCTGACTAGAATCCAGGGAATGGGGTGGGTTTACAGTTGAACTGGCCCATCCAATTCGGCATCCGTATGATATAATCTCCTGTGCAAATTCACTCCAAGTGATTATGTGAACTTGATTCTGCCCAGGACTCTGGCTATCACGGTCACCCTTATTACGAGCTCGGGATTCCTCAATGCGATCTAGGGTGTGTGCTGCATGCATTTTAAGGCAGTCTGGAAGTCCACAAATGAGAAGAATTAATCGTGTTGGGTCAATAGGAGCTAACATTGGGGATTTTCTTGTCACATCTCTCTCATAAATCGCTTGTATGCATGCTGCTTTCTGCACTGACACAGCAAAATCAGAAAAGTCGGTGGTATTAATCACCAGCGGCTCTCCTCTGTCTTTTGGATTTATACTGCCTGCCCAGTATGCAGCCCGTGCAGTCAGGGAATAATTGTGATCGCCTGCTGTGGTAGTTAGAAACACTCCTGGTCCCCAGTAGCCTTCTGCTTCCTCTTCACTCAACAAAATTCGATCCCCTCCCGAAAGGGAAACTCGCCACACATACTCAACTTCAGATTCTCCTGGTTGCCTTGAATATTTTTCCTGTAATTCCACTAATTCCATTGGTGACCAGGGGATTGGACGCACAGTGGTGCGAGTTTTATCGTCTGACAACTGTTTCTCTCTGTGCTCAGTTAAAGCGAGCAGAGTTTTAAGGCGGTCAACCTCAGTCTTAAGATGATTATTTTCAGTTACAAGTTCATCAACTCGGATTCCCAGTTTTTTTCCTGCCTCCCTTTCAGAACTTAATGATGACTTCAATACCTCATTTTCTGATTTTAGAGTTAAATATTCTACATCAGCAATTAGTTTGGGAGCAGGGACATCTTTAGCTTCTTTCTGTGTACGAAATAAACAGGCTCTTAAAACTGTGTTCCAAAAATTTTGAGCCCGCTTGTTCCCAGCCTGGGAAGGGGTGCATTTCTGTTCCTGTAGTAGCTTTTCCATAGCAGTCCTGCCAACTATGCCAATTTTCTGTCACAATCAGCCCGTCAGAGCCCTCTGAAGGTGCTCCACTGGACAGCACACTATATCGGAGGGTGATTCAGCTGTCCTGTTTAGGGATTCGTGATAACAGATGCACCCGTTGAGTAAATTATTCAAGTTTCCAGAAACAAACTAAAGGAGATCTCAGCTGAGAATTTTTTATATATAAGTTTGTGGCAGATTGAGGTTTGAAGATGCTGTTGGCAGTACACTAACTGCAAGAGCAAGTGTGAAATAACATACACAAAAACATATACAAAACCCAGTTAGTGAATTATTAAAGCATATAGAGTATAGTTCTTACCCAGTAGGTGTCCCTATGGGGGGGGAGAAGACAGATTCAAACTGTTGACCGATCCCAGTAGTTACGATGGAATCTTCCCTAACTTTTCTTTTCCTGATTTTGCATATTTATACAATTCAGTTCAGGTTAGTAACTCCCCATAACCCTCCCACCATGTATGGATTGGCCATCTGATTTGCATACGGTTACATCATGGATTTTCTTACTGCGCATGCTGAGAGAAGGATCTCAAACCTGGGCAGGGGTCTTTTTGACCTGTGGGTGTGATTTTTAGTATTACAATGAGAGTATAATGAAGATAGTTCATCTAAAGGACACCCTAATCATGTTTGCTGACATGTGAAGCCATATTTTGATGATGTCCAGCTGTTGTCAGGATGTACCAGACTTCAAAGGTAGTCATTCCTGATTAGAGGTTTGTTACTCCTGTTTCCTCAGTCCGCCTACACAAGGCCAGAGCCTTCTCTCTTGCTATCAGGTCTCATAAATCAGTGTTGTTCCTAGGTCTCCTGACCTTGTTGGAGGCCCTTGTATCTGTTCAGGCCTTTTCACAGTAACTGTCTCTATGCCTATGGAGCTTGAATGACTCCAGTCACGCTCTTTGTTACTGATGGGTGTAAAATCCTCTTGCTTTGCTTTTAAAAACACGAATGTAGTTTGCTTGTTTGGCAGCTGTGTGCAATTTATCAGTACACGGTGCTTTCAAGTTCCCACTCCTGCAGGAAGTATAACAGAGCCTGGCTGCAGGACCTTCACTCTGCTTCACCCTCCAATCAGTTTCTCTTAGCATACGCCGAGGTTGCAGGGTTGCCTGAGGAACTATCTTCTGGGAGATTCCGTGCATGCCAGCCGCATTCCATGCTGGAAGTAGCAGCTGCATTTTACCCTAAAATTTCCTTAGTGTTACAACTTTTGGGGCCTGGGGAGTGGGGTGTTCTCTAATTTCCCCATTTCCCACTCTGTCCTTCCATTGCAGTATACATGGTAGAGAGATTTCTCAGAAGTATTTTTAAGTACTATTTAATTGAGAACTGCTTTGTGCACCTCCTCCTCCCTACCTAATTCTTTGCTGGTGTCCAACTCTTGCAAATTTTCTTTCAGTCATTATATTGAAATGAAATGGTAGTGAAAGAAAATATAATCATGCAGTGCTAAGAATTTCCTGTTTCACTTTAGAAAAAATCAAGAAGTGCTACTTGCAATTAAATGCAAATGTTTAGATTTTCATGTTCTTTGGGATGACTAAATCTTCTCTTCCAGTGTTTTGAATTGCTAAGTAGTGTAGAAATAACATATTGTACAGTGGCCTGAAGATTTTAATTAGAAGCGGAAGGCTACTGTAATAAGAACTGGTGCTGTGGAAAGTAATATACTTACATAAAAGCATGTGATGGTGTTATTTTGATGGGATGTACAGATTATTTGTTTACTGTTTGTTTATTTTGTTATTTGCTTGGAATAAATTTGCTGGATGTAGAGTACTTTTCATATTATTTCAGCTATCTTTTTGTCTTCTGTCTAGGGACAGAGGTAGTAAAACCATACACACCTGTATTGCCTTTTCTGCCACTGGATTTCCAAGAACCATCTTGCCATGATAGTGCACATATATATTTAATGATTAAAATTTATCCCTGTGGACTGTTCACACAGGCCCTTGACCATCTACAAATTGGTAAGTATATGCTGGGGTGGTTTTGTGGTGGGTTTTTTTTTTTTCACTTTATCTTTCCAGTTTCCCTGCCTGGGTATTGGATTGTTCTTGTTGTTTACCTTATACATCAGGACATATTTATAACTTTTTAAAAATCTTATTTTCTGTGTCCTCGCTGTAACTAGCTGTCCCTTACATAAAGCTCTCCTGTCTGATCATCCAAATATGTTCATGTTTAACTGTTCTGTTAACTGTATCACACATTATAGTTGATCACTTTGATAGTATATATTCTATAGAACAACTTTTTGTACTTTTGAATAAGGAAAACTAGGTCTGTTTTATGTGACTTAAGATGTATTTCCTTTTCCATTTCAGATACTGAGGTTGATTTTTAACACTCGATTTCACAAATGTTTATTAACTCATACAGTGTAAAATGCATCAAGACAGTATGTTTTAATTGAGTATCTCTTCTTTTAACAAGAATCCTTGATCCTTGTGTAAAATGCATAGTACCTTTCTGAAAGGAACCCTAATACTAAGATGAAGGCAGTATGAAATGGCCTTGAAAAACCCCATAATAGTGATTAGCCTGTTTTCTTCTCATTAGTGTTCACCTTCTTTTATTTTTTATTTTTTTTTTAATAAAGGAGACTATATTTCTGTCAGCAGTCCTGAAGGTAGCTTCAAGAAGTCACAGGTTCAAACTTCAGAAGAGCTGTTTTTATTGGCAGCAGGCACAGGCTTCACACCAATGGTTAAACTGCTGAATTTTGCTCTGACTGAAGTTAGTTGCCTCCGGTATGTACACTTTTATGATTTAACCCTAAGATAGAGTAATCCAAAGGAAGGATGAAACATAGTGGACAAGTCTCATTGTTAATAAAATGATTAACAACATAAAGTGCTATGCAACCATTTTTCTTCAATTTACGCAAAAAGCTGGCATGCTTTAGGGAAGAGTCTGTCAGAGTCTTTGGCAACTTACGCTTACTTGATTCTCGGCTAACATCAACAAAATGGACTGATTTATATTTTGGATTTTAGTTGTAATACAAATGAGCTCGCTCTGAAGGGTTTTGGTTTGCTTTTCTTTTTTTTTAACCAGCTTTGCATTTGAGTGCTTTTTTTAGTATTGAAGTATTTCAGTGTAGGTACTGGTTTTTGGACTGAGGTGGCTTGCAGCTGTTTAGCTAGGGCTTCTCTTAAATCTGTTAGAATAGCTAGCATACTTTTATATTCTTTTCCCCTGAAAACCAACTGTAAGACATTTTTATCAGATGAGTACCAGCTTTCATAAAGTGCAAGTTATGTAAGCATAGCATTAAGTATATTAAAAATGGATAAAAAGGTATGTATTGTATATGTATTCTGCACTCTACTTGTAAAGCCTATAGAAGGAAGCGTTACTTGTTCTTAGTCAAGTGAACAGGTTGTTTTGACCCCTAATGTGCTTCAGAATCCCAGAACTAGTACTTCTACTTGATCCGATTGTCCATTTACAACTGTAAGAGAGTGTACAATAGCTCAATTTCAAAGGGAAGTGCAGGGAATTACTGCAGGGGTATACTTCGATAGAGGTAAGGTGTGCTTGCATTGCTTTTAGAAAAAATATTCCTCTAGAATCACGTCTTGTATAATTTCTTGGCAGATTACATTTTTGTCAGTGTCAACTATTGTAATTTGGGAGAGTATAAAAATGAAAAATACAACTTAACTGGATTTAAGCTGTTGTGGAAGAGAGTTCAATAGTTGTGCTACTGTTTTCCTGTAGCTTTGAATTTGGACTCTTGTAATGGAGATTAATTTCTGATACTGAGTTCTATTCAATATAAGCACAGGATGTTTTGGTTCATTATGTACCTTTATGAAGCACATTTTGAAGCAGCATAGAGAGATTATTTGTGAGATTATGTGGACACTAATCTTCATAGTAAAGCTAAAAAGGATGACATGTACTACAGAAATCTGTTTCTAGAAAAAAGTCTAAACCCAGGCATTACTCTTGTCTTGTTTATTGTTCAGCAATTGCATATAATCCTATTTTGTGAGCAGCAAGACTCTGTTCTGTTTGGCTTTTCCAAAGAGGCTCTGTGAATCCAAAAATAAATCTGTCATCTGACAAAGTGCTTGGGAAGCATTACTGAGTGAATTATTTTATTGTTTTTTTTTTTTCTTTTTTGAGGGGAGATAAAAGTAATTGTGATAATATGAAAACAAAGCTAACGAGAGCAAAATAAAAGATGCAAATCTTGACACTTTGTCAATAACTAGAATAAACAGACTAGATAATGTGTGTGAAATACTACTTCTTCACAGATAGTGTTTGTTTCTACTCTGTCCTTGAAAGGTGACGAGAGTGGCTGATTTTAACTCTCTTCAGCACATTTTCTCATGGGAACTTTATGCTCACAGTTAGTTTGGGATGCAGCAATATCTGTTTTCTTACTAGTTGAAGTAAATGAATTTTTCCTTCTTGCCCTGGTAGCCTGTTAGGAGCTAGAATGACTTGATTTGGTACAGGTTCTGTTTATATGCAGATACTTAAAACTTTGCTTCTCTGACTGCTCTAGGCATCTTAGTTTCTTGGCCTTATATTTGCTCCTTAACCCTCACTTTCTCTTTTGGGAAAACATTACAAGATTGTCTTTAGTATGTGTGTGTGTGTTCTTAAATATTATTTATACATGAGTTATATGTATATATAAATAGTATAAATATAATTTGCATTAAATTGTCTTACTGTGAAAAGTAATGGTTACCATAAACTTGGATTGCACACATTAGAATGTGAATTGCAGAAAGTTGAGGAAGGATTTGAATAATGACTGACTTGTCACCTGAGGGTGCAAAAGTGGCCTCTGTAGTGCTGGGTGAGCACTGTTGAGCCTCTGGGGCTGCACAGCAAATGCTGCAGAAGCCACAGTTTCCCTAAACAGCATTTGCTGTGCAGCATGTAACAGGCTTGGATCATTGGATTTCTGTTCTTGATATCTAGCCAAAGTCTCCCTATTGTCTTTGAATTCTGTTATTTCTTGCCTATGGTAAAAGTGGAAAGCAGTTTGTTTTCTTCCTGTCTGCAGTATCCTTTCGTGCATGAAGTCATAATGCTCTTCTTCAGCCTTTTTTCTTCTCTTACAGGCCAAATAGTATTTGGCCAAAGTACTCATTTTAGAAGAATATCAGTCCTCAGTGGTGTTTTATCCTTTATAAGATCAGATTTTTGCTCCTTTTTGCTGGTGGTTTATAAGTGCAATCAAATGGATGCATTTCTTGAAAAAGACTGAGGCACAAGGGCGCTAAACACTACGTAGAGGGCTAATGTTCTTCTCAAGTAACTATAGAATGCTTACAGTTTATTCACAGTTCTCCTTGATAGTTGTGTCTTGTTTGTTCTCAGCTTTTCATTCTTAAATTACCACTCTGTTCTCATACTCACTTTTAATATAGTGTCCCACATGACTTTGCACACCAGTTTTTTGCGCTCTTTGAAATCTACATCCCTTGAAGTAGATTCCAGTATGTTAGATTATTCCTATTTTTTCCAAAGAGCTGATGAAGTTTTTCATTTGTTACCTAACTTCTGTCATCATTCTCTCAACCAGCTCTTCTGTACAGGTGGGGACCATATCTAAATCACCTCTTCCTTTTAGCTCTTTTCTCCCTCATTTTTAGCAAAACTGTTGTCAGTTCATTCCAAGTGTGGGGATTTCTGTTCTTTTCATAGTGCTGAGTACTGAGCAGTACTGCAGCAGATATATTTATCTGTGCTGGGGAGTATCAATAAGGGTGTCTCAAAGCATTATTCTCCAAATAACCAGTTTCTCTCCTTGGGTGCCCAATGAACAAAATGCATGACTTTTCTTTGCACATTTTATTGACTTCATTCCCTACCTGAGTAACATTCAATGCTGTGGTGTACCATGCCAGGTTTGACAGCACTACGTTCTTGAAGAGAGCTTTATTTTCCATGTTTTCATGAAAGTGGGCCCTGGGAAACATGTGAGGAACTTGGACTTTTGGCTAGCTTCTGAATAAGATTATTTTAGTTACTTAAAGATGCAGCATAGCTTTTGGGGCTGTGTTGTTCCATACAAGTTTTCTAAAGCTTGTGTGTTGTAACTTATTTTCAGTTGTAATGCACGTGGAACTTCTTTCTCTCAGTAACACTACTGATGATGTGTATTACATACAACAGTCATACTGCAGTTTTACATTTTGGCAGCAGAAAACAAAACATGCTTCTCCTAAGTAGAAGATGATCTCTGTTCTTTGCCATCTAATGTAGTTTGTGAGAAATTTCTTGGTATCTTGAAGTGTTACCAAACTGCAGAAGGGGAAAAAGTTAGGAGTCAGAAAAACATATCTTCTGACTGGGAGAATAAAGGCTTTTAAATTGCAGCTGGAGATCATGAACTCTCCACAGAAGCCCTAGCATTTGTGATATGCATGAATGAAAAATGGCTCTCTGCAAAGTATGGAGGAGGAGGTGATGGAAATTAGTAGTAATCATCATACTTTGTTATATAAAGATGCTGTGTCTAGCCCTAGTCTTAGAAGCAAGGTCAGCTACATGGAAAAGGCACACTGCATAGTGGAGTGCCATGTTACAGAACTGGAACTACAGGGCTGTGTGGCATGCAGGGCCAGCAGACTTAGCTGACAGGTTACCCATGTGAACATAAATACATGCTCTGTCATTAAGGCCAGTGCTATTATCCCTTCAGGTTTTTATGCTTCAGTGGAGGTAAAACACAAAGCGACTGACTTTACAAAACAGAATCTACAATTTGATGAAGCCACACAAACCTAAATTATTTATTACTAATGACAGACTAATACCCTGGGGACAACTGATATGAGACAGACAACGTGCTGTTAAATACGAGCAGTTCCTGAACTGCATTCCACAGGGCTTTAAGTGGCTGTTGTTTTTTCCACTCAAATATAATGCCTATAAGCAGGTAAATAGATTTTCAGGTAAATAGATTTTATAAATCAACAAAGAAAGTAGAAATAAGATAACTTAGTGCAGAACTATACTTCAGTCTTACAGCTGATTTTCTCTTTTATGTGTTTAGATTCCATCTTTATGAAATTAATACTGACATTAACCTTGAAATTCCAGTTTCTCCTGTAGAACCTGGTGAATGTAATATTACAAAGGCGGTCAGAGTTCATATACTGGTGACTAATTGTAATGCCCAAGCAATACTGAGAAACCACTAGATGAAATTTGACAAGCTATACTGCCATCATTTGAGTCAGGTCTTAGTAACTTCAAGAAACTTTTTTTTCTTAGGGAGGCAGTTCCTGAACTAGAAGTTGCAACCACAGACAGGGTTATGACATTTAGAAGACAGGTCATAAGTCCAACAGACTTTCAGGTGCAGCAAATAAAAAAAAAAACTATACTGGGTTAGCGGCAGAAAGATCTGAGGATTGCAGAGTTGCAAACAAACAAACAAAAATGTAAGTTAAAGGCTTCTGTATAATGCAGTAAGTTCTGATTCTTTAACATGTGTTTCAAATAGAGGAGCAATCAGCAGTTAATTTTTTAATGTTTTTATTTTTTTTAAGGACAGTGAAGCTAATCTTCTTCAACAGAACAGAAGATGACATACTTTGGAGAAACCAACTAGAGCAATTAGCTCTTAAAGATGAAAGGTATTTAAAAGTACTCTGGAAAACAACTTGTACCAGCTCAGTGAATAGGAGAGCAAGTCTTGGGGTTTAGACTAACTGTACAGCTTTGACACAAAGACAGATTCTGATTCTGGAAACTTTTAGCCACCAATTTAATGAGACCTAGGGAGTGTGAGATGTGCTTACATTGGTTACAGATGCATAACAGCAGGCCATGTCATTCGGATCTGTAAGTCCCATAGACAGACAGGGATTTGATTTGACAGTGCTTTATAGATGTTTTTTGGATACTACATGTTAGATGAGATGATCTTTGGGTCTGTCTGAGAAGGTTTTTGAATGTGAAGAAAATTAGCCTTAGCAATAAAAAATACAGATATGCAAAGAGAAGTACAGGAGTGCTAGAGAAGGGTAGTGTACTCCTGGGAGCAACATTATGGATTTCAAGAAGTCTTGAAAAGTCTCTTTGGTGTCACATAGTTGAGAAAATAATAAGTTTAAATTAGCAGTTTAAATTAGGCCAGTTTCTTTCATTTATACTTTCTGGTTTTGAATTGTTTCATTTGAATTTGAATTGTTGCATTTTTTCCTTCATTAGAATGTAGTTGCAGATTAAAATGCACTACTGCACATGTAATGTCAATTTAGCTTAGCAGGCCATAGCTCTTGTCAGGAGACATAGGAATACCAGGTTGCCTTTGAATTTCAGTACTCTTTTATCCCTAGATAAATTGTCACTGCCTAGACTTCCCATGATAGAAGTACATTCTGTTTACTGTACGTTATGTTTACTTAATTGTTATCTGAAATTGTATGAGCAAATTGATTTCACTTGTTCCTTCACAACACTGAAGTGAAGAATCAATCAGGTTATTTCATAACCTGCTGGTGTCTGGCACATTCAAAGCTTCATAGTCTATATACTGTGCAAATTTACAGTAAAAACCCTTTCTTCCTTTCAGTAGGAGCCTCAGATACATGAATCCTTGTTTTTTACTCAGTAACTACTGTTAGTGAGTTTTTGAAACCAGTTACAATATTATCTCATGAATGATGAAATTGCACTGACATTTTCAGAAGCTGGGCTAAGCATTCTTATCTCATCACTTGTACATTGAGCTACACCAACATTTGTATAAGGGAATAACAGAACAGTAAAATCTGTGCCTTTGTATCAAGTGGTACCAGCTGTTTTTCTTTGTAAAGTGAAATATGCAGCTAACATTTTTAAGATTGAAAGGTTGCATTGAATAATTAAATACACAATACTGGAGGTGATTTGATTAACTTGATCAGTAGCAATAACTAAATGTCTGTGAGATCTGATGCTGTGCAATGGCAGCTGAGCAGAACAGGAAAGTAACCTTAGGAAACACCAGTATGTCAGTCACTAGCATTTTGTGTAGCGGATTTCTTCTAATCAGGGGTGATTATTTATGAAATATTCTTCTGCTTACCAGGTTTGAGGTTCAATTCATTCTCTCACAACCAGTAAGGGACTGGGTGGGTAAACAGGGGATGATTTCTTCATCTCTTCTCTCTGAGTTTGTGAAAAGAAGCAGAAAAGACTCCAAAGTCCTTATCTGCATCTGTGGTCCAACGCCCTTTACAGAACAAGGAGTGCAGTGAGTATTTTAAATTATGAACTAGAGAATGAGGAAGTTTTAAAAATCTGATTATCTAACCTGCTATAGCATTTCTCACTTGGTAGTCTTTCAAAAATGGCCTTCTACTTTCTGCTTTGAAAGAAAACTGGTGGTTTGGGGGTGGTTTTCTGGTTTTGTATGGGTTTTTTTCTTTTTTTGTTATTTTTGTTTGTTTTAAAATTAAAATTAAAAAACACTTGACACCATACTTGAGGAGAGGAGCTTATTTAGTGTGTAGCTAAGTAAGTATCAGCAATATGTAAATTTCATGGCTCTAGTAAGCTGTCCAGAACTTTCTAAGAGCGTGTGTTTAACAATAACCTTTTTTCCCCAGGGTTTTAAATGCTGCTTTTAATTTGATATTTGTAGCAAAGTTGCTATAATAGGAAATACTTCTGTGTTGGTGTTAGCTTGACAAATGGAGTTATAAAAAGTAAAATTCAGAGCAGTTGTTCTATCACAAGCCCTTCTCAATTTTTTTTTAATTAATGCATTTATTTATGGCTGTACCTAATACTTTCTTTATCTTATATGCCATATATTTGAAGATAAAAGGCCCTCTCACTGTGTCTTGCCCAGCTGCAAAATATTGAACCAATATAGACATCACTTGCATTTCTGCAGCCCTACTGAAGTAAGGTGCATGGATCTAATGGAGGGTGGAATTGGCTAATAATTATGCTAACTTCAGAAATCAGAGATAATGCAAGTGATACCTCTATTTATTTTTAGATTTTTTTTGTTTCAGTATCCTAAAAGATCATATAGTACTTATGGGCTCCTGGGCTTGAATTGTTTTCTAAATGTATTAGCAAAGGTAAACTGCATTGTGAGTGTCAGAATAAAAACAGGTGGTGCTCAAGTTAAGGTTTAGCTGTATCTGTGGTGGATTTTGTTCTCCAAGTATTAATATTGCAAACTTGATTTCTGACTTTCAGATATTTGAAGGATCTTGGTTACTCCCAAGAAGAGGTGCACCCTTTCACTGCATAATCCCATAGGAGAAGATTAATGTTTGTATAATTCAATGTTATTTATTTACCTTCATGAATTTAAATAAGTGAGAAGCAATTTTGTAAGACTTGAAATCTCGCTCTTGGTACCAAACTGTTTCTCAGAAGTAATGTATCTTTGAAAAAAATTTATAATGTGTTTTATCTTGGTTTTGTAAATATTTTTGCTAATACTTAAGTCATCCAGGGTATTAATTTATTAAAGAGGCAAGCAAAAATGCATAGTGTACATTATGTAAGATATTTCATGGTTTTGGTTCATGAGAATTCTTAAATTTATTAGAAGCACTGATTTCAGGTTTGAATTGAAAAAGATTATTATTTCTTACTGTAAAAGGTCTTAAGAGCAATACTGTCTGAAATGAAATATTGCACTGTAACTCAGGTGACTGGTCATTGAAAAATGTTCTTTTTCATCTGATTTCTCTATTTGACTTGTAAGTGATCCAGATACATTTTTAGCTTTGTAAGCAAAGAATAGAAGTACCTTTGGTACATCAAATAATAAAAAAAAATTACAATTTTACATCATGCATTGTTGTATTTTTTTTTTTTTACTTTTATAATGTTATACAGAAAGGTTTGCACTAGCTTAGGACACAAGCTGAGAACTAAGAACAGAGGTAAACAGCTGTGGCCTCTCACAAAACTTTCTGTGTGGCCTCCCTGATACTGGGCATCCGCTGTTGTGAGACATTCTGGGGGTAAAAACTTGACAGTTTATGCCCTGCAGATACCACTGTAAGGACCACAGAAGTACTGAAAATATTTGGTACATTGCAGTAGTATTAAATGAGGTTATTTGAATTTGGGCTTTTTTACTCCACTATTTAAAGTATGTTATCATGAGGCATTAATCTGCTGTCTAATAATAGTTTGAAGAAAACAGCAGCAAAGCAGCTACCCCCTTTCTAGATATTGTCAGTAATGTCTGGAGGCATTGTTTTGTGTGACAACTAGCACTGTTTACATCCTCCTATTATGTTGAATGGATATTTTTTCTTCCAAAGTAGTAGCCAGACTTGCAGTTGTGGCATTAATACTTAAGCATTCATGAGAAAATGTTTTAATAATACACTTCAGAAAGGTGAAATTGATAGAAGACTTGTATTATAGACTGTTATATTGGAAGAAGGAATTCACCAGGTCCTACTGTTGAGGTAAAAATCAATTTAATCTATTGGTGGTGTAATTGATACAAGAATAATTTGTGCTGTCCCTAGGATTTCTAAGAAATGGGGACAAGTGGGTCTAAACCATGGGAGGATATCCTGAAATCTCCCTTAAAATGTATATTGAAACACTGAAAGCAGATGGGAGAGGATCCTTTAACCAAGGCAAAATTAGTACAATATAGCAATCAGTGAGGGCCAATATATACATTGGAAGAGAGAATGCCCTCCAAGGCTGTCTGGGGAGGGAGCATTGAAACTTTCCTTAAGTCAACAATGAGGAGGACCAGGGAAACAGACCCTAGCTTAGCCCCTGGTTACATTTGAACTGGAGAAACAAAAAGTATTTTTTATTAGATACAGGGGCTTCATTTTCAGTTATAAATACCAAGCAAGGTAGTTTAAGCAAAGAAGCTGTGATCATTGTTGGTGCGACTGGAAAAATGGACTTTCTTTAACGCCATTAATTTTAAATTTGGCAAGCAATAGTTAACTCCTCCGTTTTTATATATGCCTGAATGCCCAGTACCCCTCCTGAGAAGAGACCTGTTAAGTAAACTGGATGTTCAAATCATATTTAAAGGGGGAGAAGTACAGTTATTGGTACCCGAGACTAAAGCCGTCAAAAGTTAAAAAAGCCTGGAACAGGCAAGTATAGATTAGTGAAGATCCAGGGACTATTAATCAAATAGCTCAGGATGTCCACCCTGTCATTGCCAATCCTTACACTTTATTAACATCCCTCACAGAAAATCATCAGTGGTTTATAGTAATAGATGTAAAGGATGCCTTCTTCTGCATACCCCTCGATCAGCAAAGCCAAACTGTTTTCACTTTTGAGTGGGAAAACCGTCAAACTGGTTGTAAGACCTAACTTTCTTGGACCGTTCTAACTGAAGGGTTCAAGAACAGTCCAACAATATTTGGAAACCAAGTAGCGAAAGAGAAGTGCAGAAGAAAGATAATCCAGAAAGTTTGGTCTTGCAATATGTAGATGACATTTCACTGGTGATGGAAACTAAAGAGAAATGTGTGGAACTAACATTTAGCCTTTGAATTTTTTGCACCAAGGAGCTAATAAAATATCTCGAGAAAAGGCTCAAATTGTAACAAGTTACCTACCTGGGGTTTGAAATAATACCAGGACAGCAGAAGCCACTTGTCCAAACAAAATACTACATGGGCTTGAATTTTAGCCTACTGGTTGGCTTGCTAACTTGTTGCAAACAGTAATTGTAATTGTTGTAATCATTATATTACTTGGGATTGCTTTAGGTTGTATTAAGAAAATCATCACACAAAATATGGCAGGAGTATATGTTACTGTTGACAAAACTAAAGTTGAAACATATCAAATGGCTTGAAGGCCTAGAAAAGTTTCAAAAGGGGGGGAAATGGTAGGAGTAAAACCGTTTTACTCATTGTTAGCTGAAGCAAACCGCCAAGTTGCTCTTTAACCAAACAAAACCATACACGTGTCAAGAAGGAACAAGAGAAAGGGTAAAGAACATTCTTTGCCTATCCAGCTCACTGAACTGGGAACCATTCCTCACAAAGCCAGAAGAGAAGCCAACCTAAGACCATAAAAGGAAGACAATGAGCGTTCAGCCGAAGGCCAACAAAGATACAACCACCATGGGGCCCTCGCCCAAAACAACCTGCGCCTGCTCTAGTGGATAGTAACCCATGTTAATTAGTTCAGGGAAGAAATTACAATATGTGTGAGATTTCTGGGAGTTACAATGCATGTGTATGAGAGGAATGCTTATAAGCAAGAAACCTGTGAGAATCGGCATGCACGTTAGGCAGAGCTATCCCCTGTGTGTCTGGCGCTGTAATAAGTGATGCCTGCTTCTTAATGCTACATCAGTATAGGAGTTTCATTTTCATGACTTTCTGTGACAAAATTGGTATCTGACAGTGACTGGCAATGATAAAATGAGCTGTCATCTCTACAGTGCCCTTTCATATATTGAAGTTAGAAAAGGATTTGGTTGTCAGTTTTTGCAAATAGGTAGCAAGTTATTTCACCAGAAATGGTGGTAGTGTCATCATTTTGTCACCTAGAAGGATCTGAATGTTTTCAGTTACAATTTTGCAATGGATTATTTGGGGTGATTTGTCCTACAAAGCTCTGAACAGGTTTCTTTTCTGCTGAGCAGAAACATCAGTGCTATGCTGGAAAAAAAAAACAAAATACCAACAAAACTCTCAATGTGTTTTTATTATTTTTTCCTGTCACAAATGCAGAATTATTGTGGTGACTTAGAAAATTACATTTTGGTATTAATGACTAAACTTTGTACCTTTGTACCTTAGGGTAGTGAGGATTTTCTCATGTTCCCATCACCCAGGATGTGATGGGATGACCTCCTGTGTAAAATAATTTTATTAATTGCCTCCTTCTCAGGCTTTTTGGTTTTAACAGGTTACTTTGCCTATATCCTGCCCCTTGTGCTTTGGTTGTCCTTACCTGCCTTTATCCAGAAGGACAAAGTAATCTGTGTAAGTAGCTGTTGTGACACAGTGTGTCAATGACTTCATCCTTTTCTTTAGGACATAGGCTGTATTTGTCAATAGATGATGACTTCTCGAAGGCTTCCTGCAGTCCATGTGGTGATCACGAATGTGGAACTACATCAGAGCAGGTGTAGAAGTTTGTGAAGTCTTCAGTTAATGTGCATCGGCTAAAGTTTGTGTTCAGTCTGGTGTACTGTTGGTAATTGCTGTTTACAGTTGCAGCTTGAAGGGTTTAGTGCTCTTGGAGGCTTCAGGACCATCATCCTGAAGCAAGGAAGACGCTGACATGATCAGTTGTGTTCAGTGTTGTAAGGCAAGTAGGTCTTAAAATACCTCAAAAGTGAAGCAAGGAAAGCAATCAAATTGGTAGTTGCCCTTGCAAGTCCAACAAGACATTGAGTGCAGATGTATTCTGCTGTGGTGGTTCTTCCAGGTCAGATCTTTATGGAGTTGGAGTAAGTTTCATTGATCTTCAGCTACTGCTGTCCACAGGAAAAAGAGTCCATTTCCATAGCCTGTTGAAGCTGTATTTTGAATGAAAATATTAATTTAATTTATTAATTTATTATTTTTAAATTAATAATTAAAATTATTATTAATTGTATTTACTTTGTGGTATTTAATATTTTTATTAATACTTAATAAAAATCTGAGTAATACTGAAATGCTGATGTTGTTGATGCGGACCAAAAGACTAATGTGTAAAAGAGAAATCCTTGGAGGTCTCAAAATGCAAATGTTTTACCTTTGAAATCTTTTGAAGGATTGCTTTTGGTAGTTAGTTTCTGTTTAACTCATTCAGTCACTGTCAAATACTGAGTTCAGAAGTCTTTCTGTTCATAATAAAAATTGAGTATGTAAATGTGGCCTAGTAAAGGGGTGAGGCTGGTGCTTCCTGCATGAGATTGTCTATGAATCAGATAATGAAGTTATCATTTGGACCAGTGTGCTGTGGGGATCCCATTGCCCTGGGGGATTAAAAGAAAGCTGATGATCCTGAGATATGACATGTTGAACATTAAATAGTGTTTCTGCTTTCCTTTTTGGGAAGTTGGTAACTTGTCTTCACAGGAGAGGTACTCCTCTGGACTTGGCTCCAGGAGGTGCACATCCCTCTTGTGTTGTGGTCCCCAGAGCTGGACACGCTACTGCATGTGGGGTCTCAAGAGAGCAGAGTAGGTGGGGAGAATCACTTCCCTCTACCTGCTGGTCAAACTCCTTTGGATGCAGCCCAGGATACAGTTGGTTTTCTGGGCTGTGAGCTCATACTGCTGGTTCAAGTTGAGCTTCTCATCAACCAGCACCCCAGGTTCTTCTCCTCAGTGCTGCCCTCGATCCATTCTCCACCCAGCCTGTATTTGTGCTTGGGGTTGCCTCGACCCACACGCAGGACCCTTGCACATGGCCTTGTTGAATTTCTTGAGGTCAGATAGGCTTGTGATATAGTCTGTTTTAAAGTAATTAAGAATAATACTGTTCTGGAAAGCTTCATACTTTGGTATTTTGACTGTCACAAATTATAATCAATTAGGGTGGTTAACAATTTTTTTTAATTAGTTTTTTCTAATATATTTGCGCTACAGTTGTGTTGTGGTGGTATCTAGTTCTCAACAAGTACATAAGGTTATTTTGTAACTTCTGATGGTTATAATGTATGGGGTTTTTTTGTAACAGAGCAAGAGATAAGTATTTTTTGGAAACTAAAAAACCCTAAAAAAGCATATATCCAGTGTTTGGTGTTTCCTTGGCAGACTGTCAGCCTATGGTGTAAGTTTTTAAGAATTTTCACTATGAATTTTCCAGGGATGCAACATGTTAATTTCCTGGAAAATTGTGGAGTGTT